AGATTCAGACTCCCATACCGGTTCTATCTCCAAATGAATTCTTCCATAGTTTTCTGCTGCTTCAACCAACAAAGATACAACCAAGGGCATTGCTTGGTCCTACTTTTTATTGTTTTTATTTTCTCTTCTTTAAAAAAAACAACAACCCAAAAACCCCTATATTGCTTGGCCTACCCAAGCTCATTGTGTGTGTTGCCAAATGCAGACACTGCTAGCCCTTTCTATGGTATTGCAGAATTGGGCAAAGATGTTCTCACTCTTTACTGATTACTTCATCTCATGCCCTTTCTCTGCTGCTTTGACCTGTCAGATGGGCTATTTTGGATTAAGGCTCTAGTAGTTGGCCTTGAGAAATAGCCTGCCTGACCAGTAACTAATTTATTTATTTATTTATATCTTTCTTGTGGAGTCCATTTAAATTCACATATCTTTCTTATCCCACCTTTATTACTTTTATAAATAACTCAAGGTGGTGAACATATCTAATACTCCTTCCTCTTTCTATTTTTCCCACTATGAACTACCCTGTGAGGTGGGTTGGGGGCTGAGAGAGAATGATTTGTCTAAGGTCATCCAGTTGGCTTTCATAGCTTAAGCAGGACTAGAACTCATGGTCTCCTGGTTTCTAGATTGATGCTTTAACCACTATTTGAATATTTATACAGATAGGTTTTGTTTTTCACTGTTCTTTTAATTGTTTTATACAGAAAAAACACTGAATCATGTAAAGCCTTACCTGAAACAAGGCTAGTGGGGAGAGGGAAGGATCGTAGATGGAAGTAAAAGAACAGAAAGGTAATCTTTAGCTACACTTTTTAAAACTATTTAATCATTCTGATATGCTGCTTTTTTTCAGTTTTGCTTTTTGCCTGGATAGCAGAATTTTACAAGTGGAAAAAAAAAACCACCCCATATTCTGCTGTGAAAGTAAGCACATTCTACTTTTTTAAATTAAATGCCCGAAGCTGTAATCTTTCCACACAGTCATAAAAACAAGCAATGTCAGGATTAACCCAATACAAATGAAAGAAGGGCAAGAGTTTTCAGTGTTAAGCTCCACTCAAGACTGGCTGGTTTGTCAACAATTGCTCTTGTTTTGTTCAAAGCAGAAATCCAGTAGTTGCCAAGACAGGGCTTCTGTGGGTGGAGACAGATTTAGCCTGTAGAAATGTCCTTTGTCTGATACGGAATTCATTTCCTGCAAACTATTGCGACGTTTCAACAAATTGAAACTAGCAGTTCTGTAGGGACGAGAGTTGTACACGTAAGTACAAATGTTTTCAAATGTTGGATTTAAAAGAAAAACTAAACTGAAATCAACAGTACCTTTTCACTAAAACTTTCTCTTTTCTCTCTGTTGCTATTGGCCTATATTTCTATAAATAGGGAATCAGATCTAACTCAGTATTTTGTGTTCTGTACTTTGAGCTGTAGTTCTATGCTGGGAAATGAAGCACAGCAACAGCTGCAAAATTCTTCTAAATTAGACTCCATCCTAGTGTTCATCTGGACCAAAGAATCAATGTTGTATATTTGACTCCATGACTTCTGAATTGCAGTTACTCAGTGACTTAGTTATCAGTATGATCAGGCTGTAAAATATTTTATATACATTTGGATTAACAAAATAAAATATGCATCACCATCCTTGCCATTAGGGATCATTGCTAAAGATTGTTCTGCATGTTTACATTTATATTTATAAGAGCCCTGATAGCACATAAGAGGCAGAGTGGTGCAGTGGTTATAATGCAGTATTGCAGGCTAATTCTGCCGACTGCCAGCAGTTTGATTCTCACCAGCTCAAGGTTGGCTCAGCCTTTCATCCTTCCGAGGTTGGTAAAATGAGGACTCAGATTGTTAGGGGCAATATGTTGACATTTGTAAACCATTAAGAGAGGGCTCTAAAGCACTATGAAGTAGTATATAAGTCTAAATGCTATTGCTAGTGTTATTGCTATATTGCCTTGCATTTACATAGCATATCAGACATGTGCTCCATATGGCTAAAGTTAGGAAGCAAGGAAAAGAAGTCTGCAAATAAAATTATTGTTGCTACTACTAATGCATTCAGGCTAATTTTTAAATGTAAGTTTGCAGCAGACTTCTCTAGATTAAATGTGCAAAGATGTGCAACCTGATGATATACAAAAAAACCCCATCTTGTTCATTTTTTTTGCTTGAAATCAAGAAATATTCAAGCTCTGAATCATATGTTTAAATAATCAAAATCATTTCAAATGTCATTCACTTGACTCTTCCCAGGGACTACTTAGCAAAAAAATGTGTAACATGGGCAGTATCATTGTTTAGAAGAGCTATTTATGTATCATTTATAGTTGCCATTACTGAAGCTATGAAGTTTGCTTCTCATGCAGTTGGAGTCCTTAGGACAGTGTTTCTGAACCTTGACAACTTGAAGATATGCAGACTTCAACTCCCAACTTCCAATTTTGGAAATTGAAGTTATATATCTTAAAGTTGCCAAGGTTGAGAAACACTGCCTTAGGGTATGGTGTAAATGTGACTACTCTTTGCTTTTGTGTGCATATGCAAATGTTCTCACATGCCATTTCACCCATTTCATTTCTCCAGCTACTTTTCCTCTGTGTGGAAATCAACAAAGAGCAATTCTCATGAACTCTCAATAGCTAGAGAATTGAGTCAGCACTCTGCTGCAGCTGCCAAAAAAGCCAGCACAGTTGTAGGCTGCATTAACAGAGGGATAGAATCAAGTTCACATGAAGTGTTAGTACCACTTTACAATGCCTTGGTAAGACCACACTTGGAATACCGCATCCAATTTTGGTCGCCATGATGTAAAAAAGATGTTGAGACTCTAGAACAGTGGCTCCCAACCTTTTCTATATCCCGCACCCCTAGAACGTATCCAATATATTCTCGCACCCCTTACAAAAGTTCGAAATAATGGCAACGAATTATGCATATACACTATAATTTTGAAAACCCAAGTTTTCACACTCTCTGGAATATTGTCTTGTACCACTAAGGGGTGCAAGCACCCCTGGTTGGGAACCCCTGCTCTAGAAAGAATGCAGAGAAGAGCAACAAAGATGATCAGGGGACTGGAGGCTAAAACATATAAGGAATGGCTGCTGGAATTGAGTATGTCTAGTTTAACAAAGAGAAGGACAAGGGGGGACATGATAACAGTATTCCAATATCTCAGGGGCTGCCACAAAGAAGAGGGAGTCAAGCTATTCTCCAAAGCACCTGAAGGCAGGACAAGAAGCAACAGATGGAAACTAATCAAGGAGAAAAACAACCTAGAAGTAAGGAGAAATTTCCTGACAGAGAGAACAATTAATCAGTGGAACAACTTGCATCCCGAAGTTGTGAATGCTTCAACACTGGAAGTTTTTAAGAAGAGATTAGACAGCCATTTATCTGAAATGGTATAGGACAGTGGTGGCGAACCTATGGCACGGGTGCTAGAGGCGGCACTCAGAGTGCTTTCTGTGGGCACGCGCGCCGTCGCCATAGTCCTAGGCCTTCAGCTGGGTTTTATAAAACCTTTTCGCTTTAGGCCTCCGCCGCCGTGTGCAAAAAAAAAAAAGGTTCAATCAATCAATCAATTTCAACTTCTTGCGGGAAAAAAAAGATCTTGCAAAGTTGGAATTGATTGATTGAACTTTTTAGTCCCACCCAGTCTGCTAATTACCACCACAGCCATGCCTATCCAATGGGCCACACCCACCCAATTGGCCACACCCAGCCAACGGGTCATGCCCACCTGGCACCCGATGATACATAAGTGGGTTTTGGGTTGCAGTTTGGGCACTCGGTCTCTAAAAGGTTCGCCATCATTGGTATAGGGTCTCCTGCCTGAGCAGGATGTTGGACTAGATGACTTCCAAGGTCTCGTCCAACTCTGTTATTTTGTTATTATTTCCACTAAGCTGGAAAATTGAAGTACAGGTACTCCTCGACTTACACAGTTCATTTAGTGACTGTTCAAAATTACAAGGGCCTTGAAAAAAATGACTTAGGAGCATTTTTTTTACCCTTGTAACCATTGCAGATTCCCTGTGGTTACATGATCAAAATTCAGATACTTGGCAACTGACTCATCTTTATGAGGGTTGCAAGGTCACGTGATCCCCTTTTGCGACCTTCTAACAAGCAAAGTCAATGGGGAAGCCAGATGCACCTAACAACCGTGTTACTAACTTAATAGCTGCAGTGATTAACAAATGTGGCAAGAAAGCTCACACAATGGGCCAAAGCTCACCTAACCAAAGGTCTCACTTGGCAACAGAAATGTTGGGCTCAATTGACGTTGTAAGTCGAGAACTCTTAATTTCTTCACGTTGGTGATTGCATCATTATGTTTTTTTAATATTATTTTATTAATTTTCCAATTTTACATTTAAGTATTTTTTTTTAAAAAAAATACTTAATTGCATCATTATGAATTAGGGATATTTAAGGAAGGACTAACCTTGGTTACAAGGGCAGCTCTCTACAAATTCACATTATGAATTCCAAACTGACTTCAGTTGGACAATCCTAGCCACTTCTTTCCTGCATTAACTAACCAATAATTCTTTAATCAATTTGCAGGAATGTTGGCTGTCGAGGTGGCTTCATATTGGGGTACAACCTGTGCCTTTCAGATAGGCACAGCAAGTCTTCCTTTTTTGTCTTCATGTCTGGCAGGCATAGCCTTAAAATTAAATATTGTTCTCCTTTTTGAGTTTCTACAAATTGTCTCTTTCTAAGCAGCTTTTTTCTATGGCACAACACTTCCCTAAGGACAAGCTCAGCTCCGTGAGTTTAATTAAAAATTAAGAGTCGTTTCAATAAATAAATAAATAATTGATGATTACCTTTGGGGTGGCTTGGCTGCTACCAGAAATTGACAATACCATAATCATCCAGGGATACCAACTAGCAGTCAGAAGACATGATGAAAACTCCATAATTGCCATGGAAATGGACAGACTTATGCATAGTTTCAATTGGGAAACTGTGAGTATCCTAGACCAAGCCAAATACAAAAATACTAGGTAATTCCTGGCAGTCAGAAAAATCAGCCATCAACAGGCACATACAGATAAACAACATTTGCATACCATTCAAAAGAGATAATCACAAAGCTTAAAAGGAAACAAAATATCTCACCAGCAATTAACACCCAGATAAGCAGAGATTAACACCAAGATCAATCCCACCGATAGACCTAAAACAATACTCCAATCAAGGAGTTACCAATTCAAACAATCAAACAGAAAACAACGATCTAATCAAGGAATCACCAAACTACTTCCACCAACAGATAGAGCAAGCCACGTGCATACAAACAGACAGCAAATCACACTCCCTTCTAGCACTGATGATGTTACCTAGTTGGGTAATGAAACATCTGCAAGAAAACAACCAAATTCAGAAAGCACCAAAGACCCCACCAGGCCATAATCAGTTACTCTGAAGGCTTTTGCCTCCTAAGTCTTTAGCACACTCCTGTGACTGAAAAATCAGTCTTTCTGATGCTGGGAAAAATAGTTTCATATACTGTACATGTAGATGTAGACCTAAGTACATTTTTTTGGTAGTTTTTTGTGGTAATTTTTGTCAGGGAGGCCAAGAAGGTTAAATAGTTTATGTGTCCTCCCCACCCACATACCTTTTGTCCTCTTTTTCAATTGTCCATGTCCTCATTTGCCTGTTCAGGTATCTGGCAACCCTACCTTCAGATGTACTAATGGTGTAGATTTCCAAATTCCCAGCCAGTCATGCCATTGCCACAGTGACTAGGAATCCAGGAGACTGTACTGTAGTACCCACCCAGATGATGGACATTTAGTCAGAGAAGACTGAGGCAGATAATAATATTGAATTCATCCCTCGCATTTGGTCTATGTATTGTTTAAACTGTATGAGGGATTCCGGGCATGCAAATGGAAATGTAATTACTCTTGCCACTTCTGCTTTGAACCTGTCTTAACAACTGTTCAAGCTATTGTGAATATTGAGTTCAGTATTTGTAACTTCTCAGACAGAATCTGCTGGCAAGGCAATTATTAAGTTGAAGGTTCAGAGGAATATGCTGACATGGGGGTCTCAGAAACCTTAGATGAGGAAAGAACCTGCTGACTGAAAAAGTTGGTAGGAGAAGGCCCAAGGGAAGATGAGGGATAATCTCACTCAAGATCTCAAGAAATACGGGATGAATAGATATATTTTATCAGCAAAAGCAGAGAAGGGAAACAATATTCTTGACAGATTGAGATTTAAGTAGAAGGATGGCCAAGAATGTGTATCAAAGAATGTATTGGATTAAAAAAGCATAGGGGATGTGTGTGTGTGTGTGTGTGTGTGTGTGGTTTTTTTTTTTTTTTTGGTATGTGGAACTAAGGAATTTCAGAGTGAAGCTTTCAGAGTTATTTATTTAATAATTTTATACTGCCTTTATTACTTTATAAGTAACTCAAGGAGCAAACATACATAATACTTCTTCATCTTTCTCCTTTTTTCCCCTCACAACAAACCTGTGAAGTGAGTTGGGCTGAGAGAGTGAATGAGTGGCCCAATGTCACTCAGCTAGCTTTCATTGCTAAAACAGAACTAGAATTCCCAGTCTCCTGGTTTCTAGGCCAGCAACTGAACCACTACACCAACCACTACACCAACCTTAGATACTTTAAAGAGTAGCTCCACAGAAAGCACATTGTAGCAGCCATTCATGATAAATAACAGTGACTTAAAAAGTTCCCTTAAACCAAGCTCCCTACTATTAACTATGAAATTGGTTTCCTATATCAGGTCCAACCCTGCTTACCTTTTTCAAAATCCGCTAGATTCTACTCCCTGCTGAAGTTTGAAGAACAGGTAACTATCAGCCCATGAATTGTTGGCCCAGTACTTATAATGGGTGTAAATGGATTCTTTGCTATTGTGGCCCTCTGGATTCTAGGAATCCAGTAAGAGGTGAGGATTGAGGGGCCTTCCCAAGCTATGAGAAAGTAATCTCATTCAGCCCTGGTTTCCTATTGGATCTCCATGTTGTTGATTTTTTTTTGTAGCCTATCATCAAGCTTAGTGAATAATGAATAATGACTGCTTGCATAGAGTTAAAGAAGGATAAAGTAGAGCTAGGTGTCACCAGTATATTAATGGCACCCACTCCAGTGTTCCAGATACCTTTACTGAAACATTGTATAGCAGAAGTGCCAAACGTGTAACCCACAACACTCCCAGGTGTGACCCAGATCAGATTAAAATGCAACTGGGTGATATTTAGGAAAATAAAATAAAAATACAACAAAATAGCAATAATATTACATTTTGAAGCTCAATAAGAATAAATATAATGACCAATCACCCAAACCCCAGGCTTGTGACTCAGGAAATGTCCTGCATAAACTTTCTTCCTAAGCTAAATTGCAGCAGAAATATAGGGCTAACGAGATATGAGATACTAGATATCCAAGCAGGCAAAGGAGGTCATGGATAATTGGAAAGAAGCAGTTCACACTAAATTGGACGTTGCATTACTCAAACTCACACTAATTGTGACCTCTCTGTACTTTTGTCCCAGATGACTGGCAGGCAGGCAGCCCTGCACGGTTAGGTGACCTGCTCCGGTCTACAGTGTTTCCAGTGCCTGAAGGAATACCTCTCTCCAAAACAGGTGAAATGAATTCCTCGCCTTTCTTTAAAAAAAAAAAAAAAAAAAAAAAGCTTGTATATCCTCTCTCCAAGAGAGGTTGAATTTCTTTCTTTCTTCCCTCCCCAAAAAAGTTGAATTGATATCTGTGGAGTTTCAGTCTGCTCAAGATCCAGGATCATTACTAACTTTATAGAGTTGCAAAGTTTTTGCAATTATTCATAATTAAAGTTTAAATAAGTGCAGAATACAATAAAAAAGTGGGGGACAAATGAAAGAGAGGGGGTGATTCAAATGATTTTTGTATACAAGTAGTCCTTGACTTACAACTGCAATAGGAACCAGAGAATTCGTTGTTAAGCATTGCGTTTGTTGCGTGAGGCAACATGTGATCACACTCGATTTTACAAACTTTTTGGCTGCAGTTGTTAATCAAATCACCAGTGATGAAGTGAGACATCACATGACTGGGATTTGCGCCTTTCCCTGCCAGCTTCCCCAATGACTTGCTTGTCAAAATCGGCTGGGAAGATCACAAAGGCTGGCACTATGAGGGTCATAAGTGAGAGGACCAGTCATCATTTGTTCAGTGGCATCATAACTTTCAAGAAAACACTAAATGAAAGGTTGTAAGTTGAGGATTGACTGTAATGCTTTTCTTTCTTCTCTTTATTTAAAATATTTTTGTTTTGCAGCCCAGATATTTTACCTTGGTTTGGGAAAAGCCACCTAAAACATTTTTTCTTTCTATACATGAGATATCAGAAATCAGAAGGGACGTTTTTGGGCGGTGACAAGCAGGGTAGGAGGTAAAGGGGAAGTCTGCACAATAATTTAACAGTTGGCTGAGTGCGAACTTTGGGTGTGCATACGTGAACACACATAGATGCATGCAGACTGTAAAAATTCAAGTGCCTTTAACATATATAAATATTGAAAACAAATAGTTAATTTGTAATAATAAATGTAATAATGTCTTTTTAATGTATTGGTTATATCTAGCCTATCCGATTGTTGTTTTGATGTATTAATATAACAATAGATGATGGTGATGATATATTTCTTCTGTCTTTTCTTAGATATATAACTCAAGGCAGCCAACATACCTAATATTCTTCCTATTTTCCCCACAACAACAATCTTGCGAGGTGGGCTAGGCTGAGAGAGAGGGACTGACTCAAGATCACCCAGCTGGCTTTTGTTTCATTTAACCCTTGAAAGAGGTCTAGAACTCACTATTTTCTGTTTCTCAGCCAGCACCTGAATCATTACTCCAAACTGGAATATATAAACAAATACACCTGGGTAGTTTTCTAAGTCAAAATGCAACATACAGGATCGTTTAGCGGCCCCTGTTTCTATTTGAATTTGACACCTCTGCTGTCCAGTAGTTCCCAATATAATATTCTGATAGGATGGGCAACAATCACTTCAGAACAGGGCTTCAGGTTCTGTTAAAACTCTTTAATGGAGTTTTTCCCCTCTAAAAAATGTTTGAAGATGACACGGTATTAAGTTGAACTTTCCTCCCCTAAGATGAACTATATGTGTTTTTTTTAAAACTCTCAAGGGATTGCCAGAATAAAACAGAATTCTAGCTAGTCCAAAAACCAGGACATAAGAAAGTCCCACAATATCACCTTAGAGATACATCCAAAATATTTCTAGGTAGAAATTCCTTATCATTACTCAGAGTTTGCCTCTGTTTACAACAGAGCCTAGCTGGGCACTCTGTGCTGCAGGCGGCTAAGGTCTTATGGCAAAGTCTGATAAAAGTGACAATATGCTGTTTCAGCAAAAGCTTTTCTTACTTGCAACCTTGCCACCCCCTCCGAGGTGGGGCATGAATGACACTGTTCTTACTTTTCCCATCATTCTTCCTTGTCTCCTGCCTTTCCAAAATAATTCTACTTTCTGTTCTTTGACCTATATATTTAAGCAGGTTGCCGGTTACCATGACCATGAGGAGTTTGTTCTCGAATCCCAGCCATTATGTCGAAACTTTTCAAGTCTTCCTCAAGAAGTCAACCGAACATCAGTGCATGCAGGACTTCATTGATAAGAAGCTGCCCCAGTTAATATCCAGGTAAAAAAAAACACAGCAAATATGTTCTTAGAAATGTTTGACAGATGCTTTTGTACATGAGATCATTGGGAAAAGACTAGATTAGGGCTTTTCAACTGGTGGTACTCATACCACTTGTGGTACATTAATGAGTGGCAGGTGGTATGCAGCCCTGCCTAGCCAAGTGTAGTGGTGGAAGGAAAGAGCCAGCACAGGCAAGGACTTGCAGTGAGAGAGTCCTCTGGAGCTGCAAAGGGCCCAGGCTCACTTCTGTCTCACCCTCCCCCATGAGAAAGGAGGAGGGGGGCAGAGACAGGAGAGCCTATAAAAGGAGGGAGTTTGGGCAGGAGAGGGAGAGAGAGAAAAAAGCAGCAGCCTTGGGAGGAAGTAGAGTCAGCTGCACCAAAGGGGAAGAAGGAGGAGGAGGGGGGAGGGGGAGGGGGAGAGGAGATCAAGCAGGCTGGCCATGAGCCAATGTACAACTGCTATGGCAGCCACCTGTGCCGGCAGCAGCAAACAGGCAAGAAATGCAGCGGGGGAGGGGTCGCCCTCCAAGAGGAATGAAAAAAGGCAGCAATGGCTGGAGGTGAGGCATGGAGGAGGGAAGGAGATGGAGAGTGGAAGGATTCTTATGTGCTTTTGTGACTTTGAAGTTCTGGGATTTGTGCAATGAGGGCTTTGTGTTCTTAAGGAGTGTTCGGCAATTTCTATTTGGCTGATGTCTCGTGATAGCTTCTATTGCTCTGCTGTTGTTAGCTGTAAGTTTTGCTGCAAGGGATTTTGAAATATTTTTCTCCTGAATGGATTTTGCCTGTAGCATTCCTTTACTTATGAATGGAGCCATTTGGGGAGGCTGCCTTAGCCCGCAGCCAGTACTTACTACATTTTTTTCTTCCTTAAGTGCCTGCTGCGCTTGTTAACTTTCCTTTCTAGCTAGTAGCTAATTCTTAAAGGGGAATGTGCCTTTTTAAGCTAGTTCACTCAGTAGTTTGTCTTTTCTGTCTCTGGAAGCCTTTCCTTGTTTGATTAATATATGGAAGAGGGAAAATATGGGTTGTTTTTTTTTAATTCTTCCTTCAGAAGGAGATGGGAATGAGAAAAAGGGAGGCAGGGAAGGGAGGGAGGAAAGGAAGTCCCGCCTTAGCACTTGGCCAGCAGCAGCTCTGCCATTGACTTTGCTTGTCAAAAGGTTGCAGAAGGGGATCACATGACCCTGGAACACTGTGACCATTATAAATATGAATCCATTGCCAAGCATCCAAATATAAATCACATGACCCTGGGCATCCTGCAATGGTCATAAGTGTGAAAAATGGTCATAAGTCATTTCAGTGCAGTTGTAACTTTGAACAGGTTTTTTTTTTTTTTTTGGTCATCAAGATTTTAATACCTTGCTAGATGGTACTCGAATATTGCCATATCCTAAAAGTGGTACAATCGGTAAAAAGGTTGAAAAGCCCTGGACTAGATAATCGCAGAGTAAAACATGGTTTCAGGTTTTTGTTGGTTTTAATGTTTCAATTGGCTGAGTTTTATATTAAAATATGAACTTTATACGACTTTTAATTTTGGGTTGGGAGCTGCCCAGAATTATATAAACATTTTAAATAAATAAAAAAAGATGTGAGTGAGCATTTTAATGTATTTAGTTGTGTGAAACTCCACTTTTCATTCCACTTCACCCGATCCACTTCTTTTTCTTTTTTAAACAAAAACTAGTGTTTATATTTGTTACTTTATTTGCTTGTATCCTGCCTTTATTATTTTTACATATAACTCAAGGCGGCCAATATACCTAATACATCTTCTTCCTCCTATTCCTATATCCAGAGGCTTCTCTTTGAAATAGAGTTTGCCCATCAAAAGACAGACTTTATTGTTTCTATATTTGCAAACAGAACTTAAATGCATACTGATACACATTCACGTGTAATATACAACTTCTATAGTTTATAATTATTTGGCGTTGATAACACTGTAGCTATTAATCAATCGGCTTTACCTTCAACAAAAGTCTGTTCGGTGTTGCCATAAATGTTCTTATTCTTTCCTTTGCATGTTTTAGAAAAAGTCATATTGTTGTGCCCAACATGGGACAAACAAACAAAAAGTATATCCTGCTTTCCTCCAAATGTTCTGAATAGAATATCTAACACAGTATATCCTCACACTAATCTTATAAAAAAGAAATTATGCTGAGGGAGAGTAACCTGCTTAAGTCATCCAGGAATTTCATGGTTGAGAATTGCTGAGCCCAGACAGTTTTTCCAAATTCCTCACTAGATTCCTCACTAATATTGGTTAGAGGATGCTTGCAAATTTCCCATCCGAAGAAGAACTCCTTACGGCAGAATTATTGAAAAGCCCAGTGGAGCAAATCCCTTTGTTCTCTTGAAAAGTTATCCAAGTCTAGGAAGCCAAGAAGATTACATATTATTGGAGAAATCATTGTACAATGAACATCAGATTATTGTTATACAGATCCTTTGGCCACCTGAATCAGCACAATATACTTTATCCATAAAAAAGAATCCCAAAAATTTCTTCTCCTTTAAAACAAATACAGAAAAAACCTTCTCCCATCAGATTCAGTGAGAAAAACAATAAATAAACAGGAGAACTTCTCTCCCCCAGCACTAACAGATCTCTCTAGCAGTATTCAAAATTCTCATCAACATATCCCATTGGCATTTTGTTTGTTTGTTTGCTTGCTTGCTTGCTAGTTGACATGTTGGTCTAAAAGGAACTGAAAGGCCTCAGTGCTCTTGTTTGTCTGCTATGTAGTTCAGTTTAGGAGTAAGCAGTACATGCTCCTCTCTTTCTGATAGCCCAAGTCACTGACACTTAAATTTGTTCATAACCGCAAGTCTGCAGTCCATCTGCATAGCCCTATCTTGAGCACCATTTATGAGCCACATCGAGGGTGAAACAAAAGACTGGGAAATGCCTAGAGGACATTTTATAGAAATGCATGTCACTGGACTTCTTGAACAGCTTTGATGTTATGAATTTGTCCTTCCCTCCTAGCATCAGTAATGGAAAACCTGAAATCAATGTTCTAAGTGTTGGTGGTGGTTCAGGTGAGTCAAAATACAAAGATGTTATTTAGCATTCTGAATTATGGATGCTATTACATATGCAGGATGTTATATTACATTCAATTTAGGTTTCCTATACTTGGAGGAGCTCAGAAATGATTTAAAATAGACCTCCTGGCAAAATGATATTCTACCACTGGGGATGAATGAGCAAAAAAGAGATAATGAGAATAACATGAAAATTAAACATATATATAGAATCAGACACTCTCAGATACACTGAGTTTGTTCAATATAATTCTGCAAAAGCCTGGGATGTTGTCTAGCCAAAAAAGAAAAAAGAATAGGACGAGGCTTTTCCATTTCTTCTTCTGTATTTCATTTCTTTTGTGACAAATGACTTTTTACGCATATAGGAAAGGCCTCCTGGATAAGGCCAAAACTCATCTTAGTCTAGCATTTCGTTTCTCAGGGTGACCAGCCAGCTTCTGTGGAACTTGCAGGCTCTTCAGGACTCACGTTTCACTGGTGAAGGCCCAGAGTAAGGGAACGTTTGCTCAGCTTCAGTTGGTACAATAGTTACAATCCTTTCTGAACTAGCGGGCCCTTATGACAGTGACTTATGCCCTTATGACCTCAGGTTTAGACTAGTGTAGCACACTTTATACAAGGCTGTTTTTGAATAAAGTCTAGAAAGCAAAGTGCAGTTGTACAAAAAGCAAGGATCCAGACAGTGAAGGTGATGTGTCACTTTAGCACATAGCACCAGTGATATTGTCTGCCAGTAGGTTTCTAAATAATCTTCTGGTGTTCATCTACATGCCTCAGCTCCAGGACCATTTCCTCTAACTTGACTTTTCCTATTCTGGACTATCATCCCAAGAGCAAATGTTTAGGGAAATGAGAGAGAGAGAGAGAGAGAATTTGGAAGTGGATCTTCTTAATGATGGCCCCAACACTGTGAAACAAAACACTCCCTAAAGTTCATTTAGCTCCCACCTTGCAGGCTTTCCAAACAGGATAACCATTCTTGTTCTGACAGGGGTTTGAGCAGTACTGATATTAGGTGGCTTTTTTGTTTTAATTGTTTTTAATTACATTTGTTTTTATCAAAATTATGCATTTTATTGGAAATTCACTGATGCTTGAGTTTGCTATCTATTTTACTTCTAGAATTTAGTTTTCTTTTATTTCATTTTCAAGTGATTGAGTCATTATGGCTTAAGTCGTAAATTATTATGGAAAATTTTAAAACCCAAAAAATGAATAAGAGCAATTAAACCATCTTCCCTTACTCATGATGAAGAACTCAGTCCACGCTGTAGCAGTAAAAAGGGCTGCTGGCATCCTTATTTGTGAATAAGGATTGACCTCACTTTTTTTTCTTCTGTTTTTGGAATGGTATGGTTTTTGTGGTAAAAAGAGCAAGATGAAGACGCTTACATTTTGGGTTGAGATAAAGACGAAGGGCAAAATGGAGAAGGGATGTTAACTGCTATTCTATGGGTACCATAATTCCATGCATAAACTTTCTTGGCTCAAGAGAGCTACATTGCATTTTGTGTAATAAATCAAGGACCCCATTCTGAAAGTGGTAGAGCCAGGACCCAGTGTTTGAGGCATCTGTGTGTTAAGGAATGAAATGGGCATCAGAGATGCCACAAGACTTTTGCCCACTAGCCCCCCTCTTCAGAATAATGCAAAAGGGGGAGGTTCACCCTTCTGGAGCGCTGCCATATTGATCAAGAGAGGCCACTCTTTTTCACCCAAGTAAATCACCCGTGTAAAGTCAAACCTTCCTTGCTATGAAACAAATATTTGCCTGTAGTTTTAAAACCAGTCTAATAATTCTAATATCTAATAGTCATTAAATCAATGATAATCATTGAAGTGGGCTCTTTAAATACCATACCATACCGTTCCATACCCCAATTTTGTTATGTTATTCGCTGGATACCATCAGCAGAAAGATTGCATGACTCATGAAAACAGTGATATTTATTTGTAAGCTTGTAGCTGACATCTGGAAAATAAGAAGCAAGTAATAGGATTTCAGATGACTAAGAATCTAGCCAGAATTGGCTATTTTATAGGATCCGATGAGCTCCATTATGTGATCCCCATTCAGCTATTAATATCTGTGTTAAGCTATGTATGCAGCAGAAGTCAAGCTAAGAGTTACCACACCTACATATGATAATTTAGCCCAGTTCCTAGTTTCTTTGTTTAGTGGCAAGGTGTCTGGGCAGCAAAGACGAAAATTGAGGATCACATGTAGAACATGGGATGCTAGTTGTTCAATAGGCTCCAGAGTTTTGACACATTTCTTATTCATTTGAATGATTTAAAATCATTTCAACTCTGCTACTGAAGAAGTCCTTCCCAGTTGTTCATTATACTAGTGTTGACAGTCAGTATGGAAAAGCTTGCAAGAGCAAAATGCTACATTAAGCAAAAACTAAGGATGTAGGGCAGGGGTCTTCAAACTTGGTCCTTTTATGACTTGTGGACTTCAACTGCCAGAATTCCTCAGCCAGGCACACTGGCTGAAGAATTCTGGGAGTTGAGGTCTACAAGTCATAAAAAGGTCAAGTGTGAAGACCCCTGATGTAGAGGGTCTCGCTTTAAATGGTTATATAAACAGTGGGGTAGTGTCATTCCCATCTATAAGAAAGTGTGTTCCTCAGTGTGTTCCTTATAAATAGAGCCAACTCCATCCCCTTCTAATCACAGGAGACATTTACCGGGTGGTAAAATAGTGACTCTATTCTAAACAATCTATTTTCTTGAAAGTTTAATTGGTAATTTAATGGTGAACATAGTGGCAGCCCTTTAAAGGTAATTGTATCAGAGTCCTTAAATAATTTCTAGAGCTTTAACTGATAGTTGTCAATTGATTTTCAGGCTGCCAGGGAACTGGTTCTGAAATGGCCCAAAGCCCTTATTTGCATATAAATAACTAAATGAGCTCAATTAAGGTAGAGGATTAAATTACAAATCAGAGAATTTGAAGTGATGAGGAGCTTTAAAAATAACCGAGGGCATTGGATTGGTTTCTTGTGAATGGGAATGAATACATTATCCAGTTGATCAATAAAAATATAAGACCTTCAGATGAGCTGATAACTGCTTCAGTTATCCCCAGTTAGCCTGACCATATTGGCTAGGAACGATGCACCTGAAGAGCACTAGGTTACAATGACTGCCTTAAGATAGTTCAATAATGATTGAATCTGGCATTTGGTTCTATCTTCTGCATGTAAGTTTAAGAGGCTCTTTGACCAAATCCAACATAAATATAATGCTATCACATGCAGTACCATCAGCATTTTATTTCTTTTTCTTTTCTATTATAATGAATTGTTATAGCATTATGACCTTAAGCCTCTGTTTAGAATTGGGTAGCACTGAATGACTGCCAATTATGAGTAGGTCTATCCATCTACCTATTTCAGCCTCTGGGTATAATAGATCCATTCTACTTCTTTGTAAAGAATCGTATACATAGGTTGAGATGATGGACAGATGGATGGATGGGTCGATGGATCCTTATTGAAGTATCTCCTAAAAGTGACACAAATGCTAGATTTTGTAAAGCCTTTGTATGTATCTATGATGTAACAATCATAGGAAATTTTGATTCCAACACTTTGAAAAAGATATTATAGAGCTAAGAATACATGGAAGATGGTCAGTGAAAATGATGAAAAATAATTTGCATAGGAATACAAATGGTAAGTAAACAAGGACAAGATAGGGGAAAAAAATTCTATATCTGGCTTGGAAAAAGCAGATTCCTTTTTTTCTCCTCCTCTTAATGAAGCATATGGTGAGAGATTAAAGTAGAACACAGGTAATACTTCTATACACAAAATATAGTAAAAATACATTTGCCATCGTATGTGATGGCAGCAGACTTGGGACAGTTTTTAAAGTACATTAAACAAGTTCATTAATATACAGCTATTAATGAGTAGTAATCATGGTGGTTCTTTATCACCATCAGGATCAGAAGCAGATTGTTTCCCAATTCCATTTGTTGGTGCAACACCAGTGACAGAGTACTATTTTACTCACATTTTGTTCGCCAGATTCATACAAGTTGTCAAAAGAATGAGGAGCTACATCTTTAGTCTAGCCCAATATAGTTGTTCTAATATTCAGCCATCATAGTGGAATTGTCCTAATAATTATGGGATGTAACTTGATAATTATAGAGCAATGCTTTTCATTTGTCATTCCCTATATTCCCTATTGGAAACTAATTTAACATTTGTACATGAACCCAGTAAACCCACAAACACTTCTAGCAAAAAAAGTTTGGTGTCTTTGTTCTTCTTTGTGTCTTAGGAGAAATTGACCTTGAGATTCTTGCAAGATTACAGTCAGAATATCCTGGAGTGATCATTCATACTGATGTGATAGAACCAAATGCAGAACAAATAAACAGTTATAAAGGTATGCTTAATGCTGCAGCTTCTGCTGAGCACCACGTCATTGATCGGTTTGCCTCTTGATGTTCTAGAGTTCGTTATAGAAATAACACGCTATTGAAACGTTTCTCTGAAAAATCCATTTATCATATTTCCACTGAAAGGGAGGAAGAGATACAGCCTGATGTTTCTCAGCATGATGGCAAGCCAGAAGGTGCAAATCCCTGCTTATGCAACAGCAAACACAATGTGGTATTAATGCTACTGAAATGAAATGGGAAATTTTGCCACTGTTATTTGAAAAAAAAATTAGGGATTAACTTTCTGAAACTTTAAACCAGGATACAAATACTGGTTTTCCTCCATGAGTTGATATTAGCCAGGACAAGGGTGCTTTCTTGAGACCATTGGCGCTCTTGGAATTTTGAAAATCCTCAAATAGGCTGCTATGCTGTCTGACATTGTATATGTCCTACAATCTGAAAACCCTCACTTAGTGAAAAACATACTAGCTGGTTATTCTTGCCACCTTCCCAACTCCATTCCAACTGATTTCTGACTTGTTACAAGCAGGTAGGTAGCAGCCAAACAAAGAAAAATGCTTCCTATTTAACTTGTCAGGATGCCTGTAAGGCTTTCTTAGAAATAAAGTGAAGCTAAAAGCTGGCATATGCCTTGCCACATGCTATTTTCTGCAAAGGCTTTTGCACTGCGGTGCCTGGTAGATGCCAAGGGTGATGTCCGCAGACATAGTGGGTGCCAGTAGGGATCACATTTCCTATTCTGCTACGAACTCTGTCTTCGTTTTACAAGGCTACCCATAACATGACATTAAGGTTGGCTACATACTGTACTTAGCAAAATTCACATTTCCATTTAGGGAAAGAGTTCCTCTCCTGTTGGTTTTCAAATCATCTTGGGTAGACAGCCCAGAATTTTTGACATATTGAGAGACATTAGTTTTCTTCTCATTCTTCATTTTCCCACCGACCTTGTTATCAACTGTCTGATAATGAAATAAAAAGCAGTCTGGGGCATGTTATCTTCACTGTCGATATGGATTACTGTAGAACGATGTCTGCACTTAAAATGCACACTGAGTTTACTGTGGGCATAGAACTTAGGAGCCGATAATGGAAGAGGACTGAGCAATAGCTGCAGCAGTTTTAAAAGTGAGAAATACTCACACCTAGACAGTGCACGCATATATAATGCACACCACATACGCTACCAAATCCCAAGTAATTACTACTGAGCAAGAAAAAATAATGAAGCACCACTGAAACCAGAGATACATAATAAAATCATCACCCTGTTGCTGAATCTTGACAATGTCCCTAATGCTGCCTAAAATACTATTTTAATAGACTTTCTGAATGAGAAAACACTGCTTTACACTACAGCAGGGGTAGGCAACCTTGGCTCTTTTCTGATTCGTGGACTTCAACTCCCAGAATTCCTGAGCCAGGCTGGCTCAGGAATTCTGGGAGTTGAAGTCCACGAGTCAGAAAAGAGCCAAGGTTGCCTACCCCTGCACTACAGGTAGCCTTTAACTTACAACAATTCATTTAGTGACCATCCGAAGTTACAATGGCACCGGAAAAAGTGACGTATGACCAGTTTTCACACTTGCAGCATCCCCAGGGTCACTTGATCAAATTGTGGACATTGGCAACTGGAGCATATTTATGATTGTTGCTGTGTCCGGGGGTCATGTGATCCCCTTTTGTGACCTTCTGACAAGTAAAGTCAATGAGGAAGCCAGACTCTGTGTTACTAACTTAACAGTTGCAATGATTCACTTAATGGTTGTGGCAAGAACGGTTGTAAAATGGGGCAAAAGTTTTTTTGTTTCGCATCCTTCTGAGCTCAGTTTGTGGTCATAAGCCGAAGGCTACCTGTACTAGAGAGGAAAGAACCTGCAATAGAAGTGTGGAAGAGTCTGCCATTCTCGAATTGGCCTCTTTAGCCACACCAGATGCTGCCTTAGGACCTCTTTCCAGAGCACGATACCATAGTCTCTCGAGACTGAAGGATGCCAATGATTTCTACCTGAAGGAGGTTTCCTGGAGAAACCTGAAAGTCCACTCTTATAGGTGAAAAAATAGCATTTTATACTGAATCCAGAAGCTCATTGAAGCTTATAAAGCACGTCCAAGACCTGGGTTATTTGGCAATATAGCATTCCTCATAGCCTTGCGAACTATCTTCAAAGGCAGGCCCGTGTAAAGCACACTTTAGTAATATGGTGTCCAGTAGGAAATAAATATAAAAAAAGTGTAGGTTAGAGGGGAAGGAATAAGCAAAGAGAGAACATTTCTCATCTTCACAGGAAGGTATCATAATCAGATCCTTGAGAAAAGTAATATTTCATTTTCTGCATTAAGTCAGCCTCTGTGACATTCTGAATGCTCTCTGTATGGACTCAGGACTTCAGATCACGTAACAGAACCCAAAATAATGGAATTGCGGTTGAAACGGTCTTATAGCATCAGTGATGGAGATCTTTATTGCTTTCGGAGCGAGAAGGAAGCCATGTCCTTTAACGAGTTTTCAGAGACAGAGCAGATGTCCCCTTGCACTGGAAATCAAGAGAATATTGCAAATCAAGAGAATGCTCCAATTGTCTCAATGTCCCTTAGTTTTCAAGATGACACTGAAACCAGAGCTGATTTCACAAGAAAATGTCAAATTACAGCACAGTGGGATTAAGTTCTAGGTAAGGGGTTGGCAACATTGGCTCTTTTACGACTTGTGGACTTCAACTCCCAGAATTCCTGAACCAGCATGGCTCAGCTTGGAAACCTCTCCCTTTCCCCTCAGCATGGCTGGCTCAGGAATTCTGGGAGTTGAAGTCCACGAGTCATAAAAGAGCCAAGGTTGCCTACCTCTGCTCTAAGTCAAGATTAGGGAATCTGTTGCTTTTCAGTTTTTATGAAATTACAACTTCTATTAGCTACAGCACAGTGGCTAATTGTGCAAGATACTAGGTATTGTAATTTCATAACAACACTACCAATTTTCATCTTTCTAGAGTCAAACCAAGCTTCCAATATTTTTTTTTAAAATCCAGATTTAGGTTATATAAAAATACTGAAGTGTAGTCATCTTATCTCATCTTAGCAGTTTTATGGTAAAACCCTTTGGGCATTTTCACCTCCATTTATTTTAAATCATGTTTTCCAAAATGCGATAATGTGAATACATTGTTGGTCTATACTGAAGTCATGCAGGAATCAGAGATCTAGACCAGATTCCAGAAATATAGCAAAATGTACTCCTCTATATTTTAAATGAACTGAAGACAGCAGCCCAATGGCATCAATGTCATATTAAAAATATATGGCTTTCAGCTGCTTTAAAAAAGACTGAAATGAAAATGTATTCCATATTTGCAAATGAGATAAACTATGGAGCTATCACATTTCAGAATGTGTTGCAAATGCATCAGATCTCAAGAACATAAAGTTCACTTGGCACAAGGAGACGTCCCTGGAATATGAAAATCGAATTATGGACAGCAAAGAGATGGGAAAATGGAATTTCATCCATATGATCCAGGTAGAATGAAGCGTATTATATGGCCAGACAACTGTTAACGAGACGTTACATTAATGGGCTACTTTTCATGCATGGTGTGTTGCTTTACCATTGCAAATTTGCTCCTCTTATTTATAAACTATTTTCTCTCTGTGTGTAGTTTCAGCTTCCCAACCTGATAGTTATATTGCTTTGTAGTGATAGGGGTGACATAACTCAACATATGGAGAGGAAAATTTTGCAAATATTTAAATTACAAAATATGCAACTTATTTGAATATGTCTGCAAACCCATTTCACCTTGAAATGATTCTTCTCATTTTTAGATGCTGTATTATGTAAAAGACATGCCAGCTACCATTAGGTTCTTTCATGGCCTCTTGGAACCTGGGGCCAAACTCCTCATTATTCTTGTTTCAGGTAAGTTCAAAGCTGAGTCCTAAAATATCTGATTTGAGTAGTTATACTGCAGGTAGTCCTTGACGTACCACAGTTTGTTTAATGACCGTTCAAAGTTACAACAGTGACGTATGACCATTTTTCACACTTATGACCATTGTAGCATCCCCATGATCACGTGATCAAAATTCAGACACTTGGCAATTGGTTAATATTTATGACAGTCCCAGTGTCCCATGTGATCATGTGATCAACTTTTGCAACCTTCTGACAAGCAAAGTCAATGGGAAAGCCAGATTCACTTAACAACCGTGTTACTAATTTAACAAATGCAATGATTCACTTAACAACTGTGGCAGGAAAGGTCATAAAATGGGCAAAACACACTTAACAAAGTCTCATTTAGTAACAGAAATTTTGGGCTCAATTGGGGTTGTAAATCGAGGACTACCTGTATTTTATTTTTTATGTAGTATTGAACTAGTGGTCCATAAGGTACACTATATAAAAAGATTACATTGGCCACCAGGAGGCACTATATGTCCACTTTCATCCTATTTGGGAATTAACAGATATGTGTAGCAAAATGTTATTTTATGGCAGAAGTGGGCAATTAATTTTCCCAAGGGGCCACATCAGAAACTGGGACTAGGTGGATAAGCATGCATGCATGCACACACATATGTAAAAAACTAGACTAGTTATTTGTCAACTGTTTAAACTTTGATCCAGAAACTGACATATGAAGCCATAGCAATAGCAATAGCACTTAGACTTATATACCCCTTCATAGTGCTTTATAGAGGTTTACAGAGTCAGCATATTGTCCCCAACAATCTGGATCCTCATTTTACCGACCTCGGAAGGATGGAAGGCTGAGTCAACCTTGAACCGCTCAGAATCAAACTCCTGGAGTGAGCAGTCAGTTAGCTTGCAGTACTGCATTCTAACCACTGTGCCACCACCCTCCAGCTTTTCCCGATGTGCTCTCCGTCCCATAATATATTTAGTCATGTTGTTATTTCTTTGAAAGTAAGACTCAGATATGTCTCCAAGTATGGTGCTCCCCGTGTAGATAGTGAAAACCAGGTTATATTAAAATATTAGACTTTATTTGCTGATCTTTCATTTTATGGATATAAAGAGTGATCTACAAAAAACATTATAAAGTGACTGTATCAATATAAAGATAACTCCAAATAATTCATTAGTCCCATTGAACTCAAAATATATTTATTGAGTACCAGAGAAAAAAGAGGAAAGGCACAGGGTCTGAAACACTTAACTCATGGGGGGAGGGGAAATCCAATTTCCATTAATGAATTCATTCATGTGTTTACAGATTTTTTCAGAATGGCACCCATAACACCTGACTGCGTGTGGCATTAAGCAAATACCGTAAATGCCGGCGTATAAGACGACTTCCGCGAGCGCTGAAATCGGCGCCAAAGACGGAGGTCGTCTTATACGCCGAGTCGTCTTATACGCCGGAAATACTGGTAGTTTCCGGCGTATAAGACGACGTTCTAGGAATGCGGCCCGGCTATAAAGACGGGGGTCGTCTTATACGCCGGGTCGCCTAATACGGCGGCATATACAGTAGCTAGAAAGTTCTCTCCAGCTGTTTGGCTGGCTCATTTCCATGTTATAACTTCTCATTTCATCCATTATTGTGGTGCTGGGTAAAAAGCCCACACTAGGATGGTTACACCTGAAACGTGAATGAGAAAGATGTATTCAGATTATCTGAAAAATGAAATACCAAAGATTGTGACAATGAAGCATTTGTTTTTATCTAGAATAGAATAGAATAGAATAGAATAGAATAGAATAGAATAGAATAGAATAGAATAGAATAGAATAGAATAGAATAGAATAGAATAGAATAGAATAGACCTCGGAGGTCTTCTAGTCCAGCCCCCTGCTCAAGCAGCAAAACATGTCCAGTCTCCTCTTAAAAATCTCCAGTGACGGAGCGCCCACGATTTCTGGGGGCAAGCTGTTTCACTGGTTGATTGTCCTCACTGTCAGTAAGTTTCTCCTCAATTCCAGGTTGTTTCTCTCTTTGATCAATTTCCAACTATTATTTCTTGTCCTGCCCTCTGGTGCTTTGGAGAATAACTTGACTCCCTCTTCTTTGTGGCAGATTCTCAAATACTGGAATACTGCTATCATGTCGCCCCTATTTCTTCTTTTCTTTAGACTAGCCAAACCCAAGTCCCGTAGCTGTTTTTCATATGTTTTAGTTTCCAGGGCCCTGATCATCTTAGTTGCTCTTCTCTGAATTTTTTCCAAACTCTCAACATCTTTTTTGTGATATGGTGACCAAAGCTGGCTGCAGTATTCCAGGTGTGGTCTTACTAGGACTTTATAAAGCGGTAATATTACTTCGCATGATCTTGATTCTATGCCTCTGGGTGAGCAAAGCAAATAACATTTTTAGGATTAGTGCCTAATGCAAGTCTTATGGGTACAACCAGCGAAAGTTAAGCACTTTCAGGTTTCATTGATTTCACAGTTTGCATCTGTTACTCTCAGGTTTATGTTGTGAATAGAACAGGAATGAGGGGAGGGATAGAAAAGAGAGTTGGGATTATTAAATACCGTTCACAAAATAGCAGCCTACTAATACAGAGGAATTATCATGGCAGCATCTACATAACCCAACTCAATTGGATTCCAGGCTGCCCATGAACACAAATACACGCTTTCTCTAGTTTTTTGAAAGAATTATTTATCCGGTCATGTTTTCAGTGAAAACAAAAACAAGATTTTTGTCAAATGCTTAACCTGTTGTAGTGAAACATTCCCTTTAAATTGGAATGTCCAAATTAGGGATTATTTCTCATCTCCCTAACTTTAGCCATATGGTTATTCTTATAAATAAAGAAAAAAAATATGAGTCTAAAACTTTTTTTAAAAAAATCGCATACATATATACACAGAATAAGAAATGATGAAAGGCATTATTATATTCAAACCACAGAGACATGTATACAAAAGAAGTACCCTAAAGAAACAAGTCATCTCGTGCACCAGATATATGCCTGGGCCAGATCTTTGTGGACAGAAGATACATCGTTGAACACCCTTTCTTCTTAATAAGTGCATGTTGAAAGCTAGTTCATCAGGGAAAAGACCATATTAGATATCAAGTGCTGACTTTATACTTATGAGAGAGATGTGGTCTTAAAACTGTTTTTCAGAATAATTAGTTATACAGTAAGTACCTGGGTGCAAAACATATCTATACAAGAAGCCAGATTTTATATTGATAATCCACCTTCTGCTAGTATGCCTTGAAGCACCTTAAGAGAAAAGGGACCTTTTACAAGAAATTAGAAAAGGAAAAAGAAAAAAATAATGGGTAAATTTACCCTGACCTGATTTTGAATATTTTTAGTTACAGATTTTTTTAAAAAACTCAAAACATTTTGCTGCCCCAAGTTTCTCTCTTCTCCAGCATACTTAGCACACACAAGGAATGCAACAGGCAGGTATGCATAAAGTCTAAGTCAGAGATGTCCAAACTTGGTAACTTTAAGACCTGAAATCCCAGAATTTCCCAGCCAGCATGGACACCCCTGCTCTAAGCTAACTGAATCTAGGGCACCTATCTGAAAATGTTTATGGAGGCATCCATTGGAACTGAGTTACACCCTTGTGTAATTTTTTTTTTCTGCCAGCAGTTCCTCACCTGAGTAAAAAATAGCAAAAGAAAGAAGACAAGCAAAGACAATCAATTAAGGAAAAGATGTGAGATTCCATCATTCAGAAAGAATAGTGTGATGTTCAATAGAGTAGATAAACATCACAAGAGGTGAACAAGCAGAGGAACAGAAGAAGCCTTTGCTAAAATAAGACTTTCTTGAACGTAGTCAATAAAACAACATCTAGCACTTTTGTACCAAGTCTTATGTGAAAGCTTTCTGGTGCTACTCGTACCGATTCACCTGTTCCCAGTGAGTTATGCTCAGTGTGCTGTTTGCCTCCTCATCTACCATATGAAATGGAGAGTAGGAATCTGATAAGAAACACGGGGGACATCAGATCCGCCCATATTTCAATTGTCAGTGAAACCAGGCCAGCCATGAAGAAAGATATAGGGTTGTTTTTAAAGATAATATCCTCCTCTCACAGCCACAAAGTCTTAAAAAACACCAGTCTAGCGCCATATGTTGCATCTACAGGGAGTGATTATAATAATGTGCCAGTCAGGTAGTGTATAATTGCTCCGTTTCAGAAATGGCATTGAGTCACACAACACTGACACCAGCGCATTCCTTGCAATTAGTGCTCGGCATTCATTTCCCACCACTGGGGAAGGGAGGGAGAAACAGGGAAAGAATAAATAACCCAAATTTGTTGTGTGGCATTCATTTAAAGCTGACAATGTTTATGTTTCCGAAAGAAACTCTTTCGAGACAGACTGTTTTCCTTCAAAAAGAAAAAAGAAAAAAAAAAGGCAGACAAGTAGCTTTATTAACATTGGGGATTTGCAGTCATACTTCTCAGCAGGCCCTCATTAGTCCTGAATTTATTGCTTTCCTATCCAAAGGGGCCAGGAGCTTTGGCTTTTTATAAATGATTCACATCAGAAATGCTGAATCATGCCACTGAGGGTACCAAATAAATGAATTAGCCTGGTGCCCCTTCCTACTGTTCCTGCTAATATATTTCTCTCTTTCTCTTTCTCTCTCTCTTTCTGTGGTATCGTATATATACCTAACATGCGGCCACTTTTTAAAATAAAAATAGCTCCCATTTCACTGTAAGAGGTTGCAAGCTGGGTGATCTAAGATTGCAAAGCATTTTGAATAATTCGGGACATCTTTATACTAGAATTTCATGAGTCTGATGGAGGCCTCCTATCCTGTCATCTTGTCATTCTATGCAACTTCATGAAAACTACATTAAAGTCTCATGTAGCCAGGCTTATTTTAGGCCTATTCTAAATCAAGATGATCCTTTGTCAGAAGATTGGTATCATCTTGCATCTCAGTCTCCGTAGAGGCTTCTGAATTAATTACAATTGCCTACGTAGGCAGCATATATAAGTCGATCTCTCAGCTAAATCATACGAAAGTTAATTAGATTTCAATTAACCATGACTGAAGTTGTACGTTGATGCATACATGTACTAAATGGACTTCCTTTCCAGTAAACATCCAGGATTAGGCTGAATGTACTATTTTCCTGCTTTAATGTACTTTCACGAACCTTTGCCAAATTTTGGGAATTAAAGTCTAAAACATCAGGCAGGAGAAAGCTGACTTCATCTCTATCAAAATATTTGTTTATAAGATTTCGGCTTTTCAAAAGATAGTACACAGTCTCTGGACTCTGGGCTCCATTTTAAAGCTGATATATTCAAATTATGTTAAACAGGGATCACAGCTGCTCCTTGAGTTATGACCATGAAGGCACCTGCCCATCACAGATGTAAGTCATGACAGTCATAAAGTGGCTAACCCCTGAGACTGACCCAATTTTATGACCTTTTCTGAGGTGATCGTTAAGTGAAGCAGTGGCTCACTATGGCTGTGGTTTTGCCAAAAACAGAAATAAATGTTTTTCGGCAAAACCATTGTAAAATGTGATCATGTGATTGTGGGATGCTACAAACAGCTGTAAATGCAGTCTGGTTGCCAAGTCTCTGAGGTCAGTCACATGATGGGGGGGAGCAACCATTGGAATTTTGAACCTGGGTCAAATGGTTACTGAGTGGATACCTGTATTTCCTATAAATAGAAATGGGAAAGCAGCTTTGAAGTTCAGGATCTCTCCTGTAACAAACAAACAAACACACACACACACGTTTCCATATGTTCTTGTTGTTCTACCAGACACATAAATAGCCATCATTGTAAGAAATCATTTTCCCATCCTTCAGAAATGATATATTTTGATGCTATATGATGAGATACCTAAGAAAAGGCAATTGTTGTTTACATAATCACTTATCCCAAAATCTTTCCCTCAACATCTAACTTGATTGCAGATTCAATCAAGATGACTTTAAATCTGAATAAATGTAAACTAAAGTCATTTATCTTTGGGAAAGTCAAGAGCTCTTGAGAGAGAGCGAAAGATGGAGGGAGGGAGGAAGGGAGGGAGGGAGGAAGGAGAGAGAGAGAGAGAGAGAGAGAGAGAGAGAGAGAGAGAGAGAGAGAGAGAGAGAGAGAGAGAGAGAGAGAGAAGGGACTGGGTTTCAAGCAAAGACAGCAGGCTGATGACATCTTCTCTGTCTCAGACTCCCCCAGTTTTAGTCAGAAAATTTCAGGTGGAATGCTGTGAAAACACCCAAATCCTTCTTCCTATTCCAATAAAAGCATTTTATTTTAAATGTACAGTTAGTTATGTGTGGTGATCAAAGCCTTCCACTGCTAGAATGATTTCACTAGCCACCATGGGCAATTGCTTCCAAAGTGGCTCTAAACCTGTTCTTCTCGACAATTTGGAGATTTATCAACCAGTTTCTGATTTATTTTTATGGGGTGGTGAGGAGTCAATCATGAGATCAGCTCTGGCCTCAGTGATGCTCCTATTCATGGCTGGAAATAAACCTCAGCTTCTAAATTATGTACAAAGCTTCAGCAGCATTGAGAGAGATTGAAAAGAGGAAGAGGTCTCCTTGGAAATATATAACCACCCCAATTCCGGAACATGTAATGCCACCCCTGTTCATTATGGATAATGTTCATAAAGAAGTCCTCTCTAATTGGTTTGCATATTGAACCAACTTGGATTTAGATTTGGGATTTGTGCCTGCAAGTGTCAAAAAGACAAGATATGTGGCAACTTTCTTATTTGAGACCCTCTCTGGTTTCAGCCAGGCACATTCCTTTTTTCCCAATAACTTGTTGCCAAAATCTTCTCTTTTTCTTGTTATTCCACCCATATTTTGCCTCATGTTAAATCTGTGCAGATTGTCTCTGGTACTCCTGGACCCATGCGATGAATTGATTTTCTTCTGATTTCTCCCCAAAATGGATCTTTTCCAGTTAGGAATTAAGATGTCTGCCTGATCCGATGCTATTTGCTACATTCTCAGTTTTTCTCTCTTCTGTGGGACTATAATCACTCTTAAAAACCCCTAAAGAGCATGGTCACTGAATAAGATTGCCAGGAATTTAGGGACTTACAATGCAAATACATTTGGAAGGAACAACATGGGAAAAATGAACCTGAACTGTATTTGACAGAATGAAATTTCACTGCTTTGGTTTTTCTTTCTGTTTCAAGCCTTGGGTTTAAAATGTGGGAAATCCATTCATTGCAAATTACATGTATAACCCAGACAAACAAACAATAAATAACAGCTTAATCAAGCAATCACCGAGATAATTCTCAACAACACTGACAGGGCAAGCTCCTAGTAAACAAACAGACAGCAACCCACCCCCCTCTCTTCTAAAACTGCTGATGTTACCTAGTTCGGTAATGAAATGTCTGCAAGAAAACAACCAAGCTCAGAGAGCACCAAAGACCCCACAGTTCAACCCTGAGCTATAAACATTCTCTTCTACTGGAATATGTATAATACAAATAATTTGTCACTTACATGTTTGTGATATTGTTTATTTGACAGGACGCAGTGGCTGGGCCAAATTGTGGAGGAAATACGGTCATCATTTACCTCCGAATGATCTTTGTTTATATATTTCTTCTGCTGATGTTGAAGAGGTGCTTGATGGTTCTGGACTAAAATATCAGTCTTATGAGCTTCCATCAGACATGGACATTACGGATTGCTTTAATGAAGGGAGCAAAACTGGTGAACTTTTGCTTGATTTTTTGACAGAAACCTACAATTTCAGTAAAACTGCCCCTCTTGATCTAAAAAATGAACTCATTGAAGATCTTAAAAAGCCCGAATACAGTGAAAGGAGAGGTGACAAGTATTTTTTTAATAACACCCTGAGCGCAATAATGATTGAACATTAAAATGGAGAGACTTACTTACACACCTAATATCACTATGAACTTGTTTAATATTTTAATAACTGGCTTGTATGTGAAACCTGAGACAGATACAGACAGAAACACTCAAGTGAGATATAGTATTTTGTGCCTTGCATTAGAATTGTTAAGAGTATAGATATGTGTTTGCAATGTTGCAGAGGGACACCTTATTAATAAATTAAAACTTACCTTATTGGGCTGCCTATCATTATTCCTATGTGAAGGTCCTATGTTGAGATGATGAATCAGATCTTGAAAAGGCAAAAGTCTATATTCATCTGGTTTATCAAGAAGGTATGGTTGATTCATTCATACATCTGATGAAAAAGTGCCTCAATGTCTTTCAAATAATGATTACTTTAAGATTATTTTCTTTAAGGATCTGTATGACACATATGCTAAAATTATGCAATGACTTTGGTTCTACCTTTTAGCATCTGACTCTTTTAAAAGGATCTATACAGGACGATAAGCTAGGGAGAAGTGCAAAATATTCCTTAAGTGGACTTGGTGCCAAGACATGAATGATGAGCCCTTTAAATTGTACTCAAAAGCCTATTGGTAACCAGTGCTGGGCTCTCAACCCAGGGGGTAATGTATTCCTACTGATGAACTCCAACTATTGACCTGGCTGTTGCATTCTGAATCCACATAGTCTTTAAGGGCAGGGCCATATACAGCTTGTTACAGTAGTCCAGATACTGTAGGTCAGTGGTGGCGAACCTATGGCACAAGTGCCAGAGGTGGAACTCAGAGCCCTTTCTGTCGGCATGCGCGTCATCACCCCAGTCCTAGGCCTTCAGCTGGGTTTTATAAAACCTTTTTGCTTTAGGCCTCCGCTGCCATGTGCACACAAAAAAATGATTCAATCAATCAGTCAATTTCAACTTCTCACGGGGAAAAAAAGATTTTGCAAAGTTGGAATTGATTGATTGAACTTTTTAGTCCCACCCAGTCTGCCGTTACCACCACAACCAATTGGCCACACCCATCCAATGGGCCATATCCATCCAATGGGCCACACCCAGCAATGGCCACACCCACCCAGCACCCAACGATGCATAAGTGGGTTTTGGGTTGCAGTTTGGGCACTCGGTCTCTAAAAGGTTAACCATCACTGCTGTAGGTGATAAAAAGAGCATGAACCACTGTAGCAAGATTCTCTCATCCCAGATGAGACTGCAGCTGACAGATCAGTTCCATGACCACTACCTTCACCTACTGGAATTGCTGGAACTTCCAATCCAAGAAGCTCCCCAAACCATGGACCTTTTCCTCCAGGGGTTTAGGAGGCATGGCTGTTCAGTGGCTTAAAGATGGTGGACATGATCTCTGCTCTGGTAGTTCGAGTCCTAGCACCAAGTGACAGAGTGAGCTCACATCACTTGCCTCAACTTCTGCCAACCTAGCAGTTCGAAAACATGCTACATGCGAGTAGATAAATAAGTACCAAATGTGGGGATGGTCAGACCTCTACCGATGCTGCCTATCATTATTGGAGCAGCATTGGAGGTGAGAGAAAGTCCCAAATAACACCACAGGACATCACTCATCTTTCTAGTGTGGAGCTAGTTCATCACCTGTTGTGCACCCTGGATAGCACATAATCATGAACTAAATGGAATAGCACTGTTCAGCAGCCAAACAACTCCTGTACTATTATGCTGTACTATAGTCTCCTGGCTAATTGTACCATTGACATATTCTAATAAATAAATAAATTCCTCCAGCAGTATTGCTTTCCTATCAAGTGCCAACACTGGAGCAAATAGAAAACCTTGATGGGAAACAGTTCCTCCATCTTGATAAGATTCACCTTCACTCTTTTGGCTATCAGTTGATGTTCATGGATATGTTCTCGTTTCGTGAGCCATTGTTCCTCTTTTCTGGCTTATCACATTATGATTAGGTCATAGAGGGTTTTTCTGATTGGTTGTCTAGTTTCTGTAAAGGGTTTGTATTGATGATATTGTAGGTTTACTTGTCATTCAGCATCTCTTTTGCTTTTTGGATGCAAAATGGTTTTTTTCTTATGAAAACTGTGGTTGGGCAGTTGGGAGGACAATGATGGTTTGATTATTTTCTAATGTTTTTAGGGCTGCTTTTTCTGCCCTGAAGTTATTCTGTTTCCTTATATGTTTGGTCAAAGGAATAGATCCTTCCTTCCTTCCTTCCTTCCTTCCTTCCTTCCTTCCTTCCTTCCTTCCTTCCTTCCTTCCTGTTTGGAATGATGCTCCTAGGACTGCCAAGAATTGCAGTTGGTGTATTTATCATATATTTATTCCAAATTGATATAGCCTTCTAACTCCAATGGTGCTGGTTGGTATTCTCTTTGTTTTAACTCAATCCTTTATGGAGGATGTTGTGTTCTGAGGGAGATAAGAATGCCTTACCATTCATTCAGGTTCAGATTCATCTTGGGACGTGTGAATCTTGTGATCTGAGATCACGAAGCCATCCAGTGCAGCAATCAACATTAGCTTCAAAGGATACACTTTTAAAATTGTCAGGAGAAGATTTATACTTTTTAAAGCCTTCCTGTAGGAAACGTTGAGTCCTAAAAGATATACAAAATTCTTCAATTGTTTGGAGGATTTAGCAAAATGGATTAGTTCACAAAGAAAAGGTGGAGAGGGTGGGTTTCCTCTTCCAGAAAGGAAAATTTTGATTGCATGCCAATTTGCATGCCCTGCCATTCACTGATAGGTGACGTTTCCTAAGTGGCTGACATTTTTTTATCTTGGAAATGAATAGACAAGGGACTCAAGGGAGGTGAGAAACAAAATATTGTTTAGCCACACAATAAGCATTCCTTTAACAAGATGGTTACAGAGAATCTACAGGAGGAGAGGCTGATTTCTCCTTTTTATGGATTTTTTAAAAATCCTCTTACTACTATTTCCCCACCTTTAATGTCCTGCTATTGCTGTGGATGCAAAAGAATGCGCACACACAAGCACAAAGCACACCGAGAAAGTGTTAATAATTCTGCTTCCAATTAATTTTTGGTGGCCACTTTCATAGTTCCCTTTCATTCTGTATTTCTCTCATTAATATAGATCTGAAAGTGAAATGCTGCTGTTTCCATTGGTGAGGGGGCATTGGATAATAGAGTATGCCTCATTTCCTTAGGCACAAAGTACACAGAACTTTATATTTTCATGTCATGGTTGACTATATACTGCAGAATTAAACAAAGCTTTATTTTAGCCATTAAAGGTCATATTTTATTTTGCCCTGTCCTTTGTGGGACATCTGTGTAGAATAGGATGATCTTTCTCAACTTCAATCCAAGTAATCTGGAGAAATAGATGTTATTTTTTAATTTTAAAGATGGTCTCATTCCCCCCTGATATAAACACGGACTCTTCAACTATGATGCTCTCATTCTCGGCAAGAAGACAAAGCACACCAAAATAAGATAGAACTGTCCTCCTTGCCATGGGAAAAATGTAGTAAGATGACATCATTGCAAAGCCCTACATAAGATACTTGGGAGGGAAGTTCCATGGAGACCTTGAAATGTTTGTGTGTATGGTGCTTCTCTGGGGTTTCCTGACTGGCAGAAGGGCCAAGGGGTCTTTCTTTGTCTTACTGTATTTTTCAATACTCATGATTATTCTTTGATTGTTGTCATATTGTTATATTATTGTCATTTTTTTCTTCTGCCTTGCAATAATAGCAATAACAATAGCACTTAGACTTATATACCACTTCACAGTGCTTTACAGCCCTCTCTATTGCCCCCAACAATCTGGATGCTCATTTTACTGACCTTAGAAGAAAGGAAGGCTGAGTCAACCTTGAGCCAGTGAGACTCAAACTGCCGAACTGCTGTCAGCCTGCAGTCAGCAGAAGTAGCCTGCAATAGTGCATTCTAACCACTGTGCCACCATGGATAATCATTGCTTCTGAATCCAAAGGAAACATCTACAAGTTGCTGAACTATAGCTCCTGGTAACCCCAACATGTATGGCCAAAGCTAAGAAATCCCAGGAGTTATAGCTCAGTAGTCTTTGTAGAGCTATCTATAAAAGAATCCACCCTGGAGCCATGATGGCACAGTGGTCAGAATGCAGTGTTGTATTCTATTTTGCTGACTGCCAGGGATTCAATCCTCACCGACTCAGCCTTCCATCCTTCCAAGGTCAGTAAAATAAGGACCCAGATTGTTGGGGGCAATATGCTGACTCTGTAAACTGCTTAGAGAGGTCTATAAAGCACTGTGAAGTGTATATAAGTCTAAGTTCTAGTGCTATTGCCATCCACCCCTCTTGGAGCCATGTGCAGGAGATGACCAGGCTGAGCCCAAGGGTGGGATCAAATGAGTCATCAGTTTGGAGTTACTATGCTCCCACAAGAGACCTAAGTTCAGCCCCCCCATAAATTCCATTGACTCTTACCTACACCAATTTGCCTTGACCATTAATAATTCATATTCTTGTGTATACATAGCATGAAATAAACTCGTCGTACTTATGAACCCTATCTTGGCTCCTGGTTTCTTGCACCTGACACATGTGCTCCACTGTAGAATAGCTCTGTTGTTAGAAAGCTTTTTCTAACATCTAGATGAAATCTTTATTTTTGCAAATTCTACTCACTGGTTTTAATTTTGCCCCCTGGAATATGATTCATCTTCTCCATCCCAGATTTCTAATATGGAAGAGTGGCACTGTATCTCTCCTTTAATTTACGTTCCCTGGCTTAAATAGATGCAGATATTTCAACTATTAACAGGATTGGATCAACCTTCCCATCATAATGATTTCTGTTCTCTGGATCAACTCCAGTTTGTCAATAGTCTTCTTAAAAGTTAATGCCCAGAAGTGGATATAATGCTCTAGATGTGGTCAGGCTATGCCGAACACTTGTGTAGAGCAGCCTAAGATATTTTACAACTTGAGGCAACAAATAAGTGGATAGATCTCATTCTATTCCCTCCACAAAGCCTGACTAGATTGGGCATTGGAGAACGTATTAACCCTGAAGTTGTGCTCTCAAAAGCCCATATTTGGACAAATAAAACTTTTTGGGTCCCACTTGAGGTGGTTCCTTAATTTTGCCTAATTGTGGAGCCTGCTGTCCACAGGATGGTTAAATGGAAGGCAACCTAGACCAATCACCAGCCCCAGCCTTTCTTCCTGAATCTCAGCCTTTTCCCTTTATCTCAGCAATTCCCCCTGGAGCTAG